TCTTTTCAATGTTCAGATCTTAATTACTACAAAAGAACGAAATTGGAGTTGAGCCAGAAAAAAAATATCCTTTTGAAACATTTCTTAAAGCTGAAAACAAAAATGCTAGACTTTCTAGTACAGATGAACGGGGAACAGACTCAAAATTGGAGGAGAGGAGTCAATGTTGCACTGAGGTGATTTGTCCAATATTCAAACCCACCATGCGTGTCTTAAGGAAATGGGAAGGACAAAGAAAAAATACAAAACGCAATAGAATCAGCATCGACAATTTAAATTTTACGGACTGGATAGCATTTCACTAAAACACTAATCACATGCTGTTAGTACCATTTTTCAAAACTACCTTCTTATATCAGTTCTACATCACATGAGCGATTTTCGTACCATGTTTAAATTTCGAGTTTAGTTAATTAAAATTCACTATTAAAGGGGTGCAAATCTTTGCAGTTCTCAACCGGAAAAAACCTCCTATATACTTCCACCTTGTTTAACGTAACTGCAACGTTTGCCTAATTCAATGCTCATATGTCTTTCATCTGGCCAGTCCATCTATTATATCCAAAAAAAAAAAACAAAAATTATGGAATCAAAACAAAATTGAACATTCACTCAATTACTCAATTACTTGCTACGTTTCTTTTTCTCACTCTCAATTCAAACCAGCCCCCCTTTATGACCCCATTACAGAGAAAGAGAGAGAGAGAGAGAGAGATCATTTAAAAGCTCAACGCAAAAAAGGTTTCTTTCTTTGGAAGTGCTATCGTATGTTTTGTTTAATTAATGGGGCTTGTCACAAGGGGGGCTTGTATGGTCATTCACAGATACAACTACTACATATTGCTCACTTGTATGGTAGCATTTAATTGTTGTTGTTGTGGTAGCGGTAATAGTCGTAGTTTATAACATAACTTGTAAGTAACAGCGAACACTGAATGTAGTTTAGTATTCTTAACAAGATTTTGTTTCGAGAGGGGTGGGTAGCAGAAAATATGCCGATGTACTCACATACGCTACACATTCAATGGTGTGTCTGCTCGTTTAGTATGTGGTCAAGTGTGTTTGTTGTGTGCTTTGGTTAAGGTCACTCACCATATGCTGGAAATTAGCTTTTGTGTGACACTTCTTTATTTTAAATGGGTGTGTTGATGTTATGGATCGGTTTGTGCGAAAAGTAATAAGTACGTAGGTTTACTCGATATTTGGTAACAATTGTTTACACCATACCTCTGAAACGCTCTTATTGAAAAAATAGAGTGTGCTTGACTTATATATACATATATGTTGATGAAAATAAGTGTAAAAACAAATATTTATACAGAGTGAGATAAAAAACTGCAACAAAGTCAAACGCCATAGTTTTTGCATTTTTTTAATTTTATTGAATGAAAGCAAAAAATTGTCGGAAATAGCATCAAATATTAGAATAAGTTTAGATTTGATCGAATTAGTCACCTTTGGCACGAATTATGGCCTTCAAACGCCCAATGAAACCGTCACAGGCTGCCCGAATGTTGATCTGCGGTATTTTGGCCCATTCCCGGCGAAGCGTTTGCTTGAGGTGATCGACACATTGGTATTTTTTGGTGCCAACCTTGCTTTCCAAAATACTCCAGACACAATAGACCAACGGATAGGTATCCGGAGATTTTGGTGGCCATTGTGCGCTGGAAATGAAGCGAGAAATTTCATTTTTAACCATTCTTGGGTGGTGCTGAGTCCTGTTGGAATGTCCACGGTCTGCGGCCAAAATGTTTGCGTACCCAGGGCTTTAATACTCCCTCCAGAATATTTTCGCGATATTATTCGGCATTTATTCTGAACCCACGGTCGATCAAAACGAGTGGAGAGCGACCATTGGCTGTTATGGCGGCCCACACCATCACCATGGCCGGCGCTTGAGTTCTGGTGGCCAACCGAAGGTGCACATTTTCAGCTGACCTCTTTGGCAAGTAAAAACGATCATTTTGTTTATTTACAAACTGCTGGACAACGAATGTTTTCTCATCAGAGAAAACCAGTTCACCACTTTCGGCCAAGCGAAGCAACTGTTTAGCTTTTTCGGCCACTACGAACCACTTCTGTTGATGTTGCTTTTTCCTTCCGTCCACTTCCTTGACGTCTGGCTACGCTACCAGTATCACGGTAACGAGTGATGGTACAAGACACAAAAGATTTATTCACATTTAAATACTGAAGTGCTCTAACGATAGCCACTTGTGGTTTTCCAGCCAAATAAAAAGAAATCACACTGTCACGCTTGAATTCCATCTCGAAAAACTCTTTTTCTGGAAAATTCTCACCAAAATGATTTTGTACGCTTGTAAGCAATATAACGAGCTGTCACTAGAAATGATAGCAAGTTGGTTGCAGTTTTTTCATCCCACCATGTACATGGTACGGAGGGTATATTAAGTTTGTCATTCCGAAATAATCATTTAAGAACCAACAAAGTATAAATATATTCTTGATCAGAGTAAAATCTAGATCGAATTAGCCATGTCAGTCCGTCCGTCTGTTGTAATCACGCTAGAGTCCAAACGACATGTATTGGAAGCTAAAAAAATGGTCTAGTTCGAAGATGAGCCATATCGGTCAACGTGTTCGTATAGCCCCATATAATTGTACCTTCCAATTTTCGGTATTTTGTTAGCCACACTTTCTTACAAAATAGTTTAAAATTCGGTATTTATAGTTCATAATGGGTCCATATAGGTCCATTAGTTCGTACAGTCCCCCATATAATTTTACCTCTCGATATTCGTTATTTTTATGATTTTAGCCAAACTTTCTAGCGGATTATTTTTAAATTCGATATTTGGAGTTTGTAATGGGTTCTACCTAATGTGTCTATATAGGTCCACGTTTTTCTATGGCCCCAAATAAAGGTGCCTCCTAATATTCGATATTTTGACGATTTTAGTCACACTTTTTAACGGAATAGTTCCAACTGCGGCATTTAGAGATCCTCTAGCGGCAGAACATTGCCTATATAGATTCACGTTTTTCTATAGCCTCCATATAAGGGTACTTCCCAATATTTGGTACTTTGTCGATTTAAGCCACATTTTCTAACGTAATTACTAAAAATTCAGCATTTGGATTCCGTAATGATTTCTTCTGCTTATATAGGGCAATTTCTTAATATTAGTCAACATACTTCTATAGCCGCTATTCTCCCGATATTCGGTATTTTGATGATTGTAGCCATCTTTTTTACAGAATTGTTTTAAATTTCGATTTGATGTTCCTAATAACTGAAGTGACGCATTCCCCCCAAATACTGGAATTTCGGCATTTACAGACATAATTTTACAGGAGTTACTTTGCAAATTGTGGAGTGTATAAAAAGTTCTTAAGTACTTTTTTACTTGTTGGGTCTAGCATGAATATGGTGGATGAAAATGTCTCAAAGAAATGAAAGGGAGTATCCCATACGGTTGAAAATTCAGATCTAGGTCATGGTCGAAAGTCACCCGAATCGTTCAATTTCTTCTGGGAAATAGTTTCCCAAAAATCATTATTATTATATCTTATTATAAAAATACGTGCTCTGCTAAAAAAAACTTCATCGCGTTCTTTTTCCAAAGCTTCTTCGAAGATCATTTTTGGCTCAATGAGTAAATTAATATGCAGAATGACCGATTTTGGAGTGAAGATCAGCCAGAAGCATTGCAAAAGCTCCCAATGCGTCCAGAAAAAAAATACATTTTGGTGCGGTCTATGGTCTATGTGAATGGTGAGCTTTACCGTGGGATTACATCCAATTTTTTGCCAAAAATGCAAGAGCTTGACTTGAACAACATTTAGTTTCAACAAGCCGGTACCACATACCACGCGTAACAATGCCATTATTGATTGCATTTCTAGAAAGCCCATTTCATATTAAATTTTAACATACAACCTTTATTAAATTTGGTGCCATTTGGCATGAATGGTACACTTAAGTACGTATATCCAAAACCATATTCTTATATTCCAAATATTCCAACATTGGTTTCCACATACAATTTTAAGATTTTGAATTTTCTTATGCCAAATTTCACAATTCTCGCTCTATCCGTTGGTCTAATATAATAGCGCCTATTTCGTGAATGGTAAGCTTGAAACAATTCCGTTTATTAATTCTGCTAAAATCATCAAAATAGTGAATATCGGGTAGTATCGTCGTACTTGGATAGGCAATTTTCTCTCATGGGCTGTAATACCCATTACGAACTTCAAATACGAAATTTGAAACAATTCTGGTGAATAATTCCGCTAAAATCATTGAAATACCGAATAAAGGGAGGTATGGTTTTATGGGGGCTACCCGAAGACGTGGACCGACATAGCCCATTTATGAACTTAACCTGCCTAATGGAAAAATACACATGTTTGCAAAATTTTAGCCTTCTATCTCAATTCGTTCCAAAGATAGCGAGGTTACAACTTAGAATCGACTTATAATTTTAGGCTGATCTAGAAGTAGAAGGTATGTTGTTGTCATTGCCAGTGGTACAGAGGAAGTGGCTGCTAGAGACTAAGGATAAAAACGTTGTCCAGAAAAAACTCCTATTACCAAAAATGGATTTTCCAATCAATCCTTGGCTGTCGTTGCTCACAAGTCAAAATACTAACTCATTGAATTTGGAAGGACTATGCTGACTATCGAACTCATAATCTTCCATTTTGTAGACGGACGTGCACACCTTCTTGCCGACGTTGCCCATTACCTGGTCATGAGAAGTATAAGCTCGTTTGCTTTAAATTTTCTTTGGAGTAACCCATTATTTTTAACTTACTGATAATACATAAAGAAGGTGTCATATTGACTTTTAACGGGTTTTCATCTGATACAGCTCCTAAGTTTTTGTTGGGAATAAAAGTCACAGCGAAGCGCCGCAATGATTCGACCATGACACATTAAAGCTTTTTCAGTTCGTTTGTTTATAATTGATGTTGTTATTGTTAACAGCTCGAACAAAATGACGAAGTCTACAGTGTTAGTGAGCGAACGAGCGGCCAGCTAGCAAGCAGTTGCTGCTTTTGCTTTCAGCTAGACAAGACGATTGCCTGATTGTTTGACTCTTTGCCTCCACAGTGTGGGGTCTCCGGTATGGGCCAGAGCAAAAACAACAATCATAATAACAATACAATAAACACAACGCCGTCGCCGTCGTCGGCACTCGAAAAAGCAGCAGCAGCAGTAGTAGTAGTAGCTGTAGTAGTAGGTCGTTTTGTTATGGCGTTTCGCTGAAAGTGGGGGCTCAGCTAGATTTTTGCAAACTGACAGCTTAGTGTGCTTTTATACCTAGACTACGATAGTTCGTTCAGTCGTTCTCATCGAACAGTAAACGGTCGTTATATGTTATTTACATACGATACGAATGCGTTTTGTTAAACAAATTCTCTACAAATAAACAAATTATTACTTTTTTCCATACCTACCAAATGTGTGAATGTATTTGTGTAGTTTGGGGGTTATAATACAAAAAAAATCGCATAAATAACCAATTAAATGGAATTTATTGAAGAAGAAAAAATTGAGTGTATTTGCGATTATTAGTTAAGCAAAAATTCCAATAAAATCAAAAAAAAAAAAAAAATCTGTGACATAGTGATAAAACAAGTTAAGCTAACGAAGGAAAAACGACAACATCATTTCATAACCAAGCATATTTGTTTAAAGTCGTCTCACGGACCACCGCCTATCCAACTCCCCTAAGCCCACAGTCAACAGTTGTTTGAGAACATAAAAAATCTCATGGTGATATATACAAAGTAACAACAACAATAACAGCGAAAAACACATTATCGCCATTAGATCCCCCCGAAGCAGTGCACTACCACTGGACTACTGGTCAAGTCTAGTTATTGCTGGACATAGAGTTTCGAGTGCAAAATAAAGCAAAACCAAAACAAAACTTTAACTTGAAACTTTGCTATACACCAACAACTACTACCAGCTTGGAATAGCAGCAACAACATTATTGGTTGGATACGTGTTCACAATTTGGATTTAGAAATCAAGTAGGTAAGAGCTTAGAATTATAAATAAACACATACATAGGTATTGGATATTTTTAAACACTTCTAGATACATTTCGACATCGAAAAGTATGAAAATATCAAGACATTCTTATTTGACTAATAACCTTGTTTTAGGCGCAATTTGCATATATTTACATATATGGATGCATGTGTGTGCACTAAGTTTAAGAAAGGGGTTTTTGCAGCAAGGCAATAATTAAATTTGAATTTACAGAGCGGACAGAGCGACTTTGTCAAGAATGAAAGATTTTCAATTGAAATCAAAGATTTTTAATTGCGAATTCAATAACAGCAGCAGACAAAATATAACAATTGAAAATAAAGCTAAGTTTGCCCGGGCCGATTTTTTATTACCCTCCAACATTTGGAAGGAACTTGAAAAATTAAATGATGATCTTTATACGGGGGCTATACGAAGTCGTAGATCTGTATAAGTGATTGTTTGTTATATGCTGTTAAGATCTTCAAATACGAAATTTGAAACAATTACGGGAAATAGTGTCGCTAAAATCATCAAAATACCGAATAAAGGAAAGTAACGTTATATGGGGCTGTACGAAGTCGTGGAACTGCACACAACTATTTTTTTAGTCGTAGGCTGTACTCCTCGTTACAAACTTCGAATTCGAAATTAGAAACAATTCGGGTGAATAAGGTCGATAAAATCATCAAAATGGCGCATTTACGCACTTAGCCTGCCAACTGACAAAACACACATGTGTGAAAAAGCCTTCTATCTCAATTCTTTCGAAAGATAGCGTGATTACAAGAGACAAACGGATAAACATCGCTAAATCGTCTTAGAATTTTACGATGATCCAAAATATACATACTTTGTAGGGTCTATCATGAATATTTCGAGGAGTTACAAACGGAATGACAAAGCTAATATACCCTCCATAGAATGGTAGAGGGTATAAGAATGCATTGTGGAAAAATAGAAAATAAATTAACCTTAACAATATATTTCTACTTATTTATCGTTTTTCAGTTACTTTGGGTGCCTCGACTTTGTAAAAATAATGTATTAGCGGGTTGATTTGTAAGAATTTATGACTGACGAAAATATTGACAAGTTGTGGTCTTATATACACGAATTCCATTTAAATACTCTTCAGAATACCTAAAAATGTTCGAATAGCTACATACCAATATACAGGGTGAGATAAAAGAAACTGAAACAAAGTCAAACGCCATAATTTTTACATTTTTTCTTAAATTTTATTGACGTCGGGCTACGCTAGACACAAAAGATTTATTCACATTAAAATGCTGGAGTGGTCTAACGATAGCCACTTGTGGTTTTCCAGTCAAATATATAGAATCACACTATAACGCTTGAATTCCGTCACAAATACCGTTTTTACTGTCACTGGAATAATTTTAACAGCTGTCGGACGAGTGGCTTAGAAATGACAGTTGTCTGAAGTTGGTTGCAGTTTTTTCATCTCACCCTGTGTACTTTCAAATATAATTTACTTCTCTCTTTTGCCTAAATTATTATACCGACTGCTCGCAAAATCCCAATTTAGATGTTCTAAATTTAACCGCTGTTTTCATTGCGTTACCGCGAAATCCCAATGGTTTTTTATACCCTCCACCATACTATGGAGGTATATTAATTTTGTCATTCCGTTTGTAACTCCTCAAAATACTCATCTCAGACCCAACCAATATATATATATATATATATATATATATATATATATATATATATATATATATATATTCTTGATCAGCGTAAAATTCTAAGACGATTTAGCCATGTCCGTCTGTCTGTCTGTGTGTCTATCTGTCTGTCCGTCTGTCTGTCTGTCTGTCTGTTGTAATCAATCAATCAATCATGGGCCATGTAGGTCCAAGTTATCATATAGCCCATTATTAGCGACATTATTCACCATAATTGTTTCCAATTTGGTATTTGAAGTTCGTGGTGGATACTACAGCCTAAGACAGAAAATTATCTGTACAGGTCCACGTCTTCGTATAGCCCCATATAACGGTACCCCCCGATGTTCGGTATTTTGATGATTTTAACGACATTATTTACCGGAATCGTTTCAAATTTGGTATTTTAAGTTCGTAATGGATACTACATCCTAAGCCAAAAAATGAGCCATGTAGGTCCACGTCTTCATATAGCCCCGATATAACGGTACCCCCCGATATTCGGTATTTTGATGATTTTAGCGACATTATTTAACGGAATCCTTCTAAATTTCGTATTTGAAGTTCGTAATAGATACTGCAGCATAAAACAGAAAATGGGCCATGTAGGTCCACGTCTTCGTATAGCCCCCATATACCGTACCCCCCGATATTCGGTATTTTGATGATTTCAGCCCATGCCAGAAAATTGTCTGTACAGGTCCACGCCTTCGTATAGCCCCCATATAACGGTACCCCTTATATTCGGTATTTTGATGATTTTAGCTACATTATAAACAGATTTTTCTTCTCTTATTTACCGGAATCGTTTCAAATTTGGTATTTTAAGTTCGTAATGGATACTACATCCTAAGCCAAAAAATGAGCCATGTAGGTCCACGTCTTCATATAGCCCCGATATAACGGTACCCCCCGATATTCGGTATTTTGATGATTTTAGCGACATTATTTAACGGAATCTTTCTAAATTTCGTATTTGAAGTTCGTAATAGATACTGCAGCATAAAACATAAAATGGGCCATGTAGGTCCACGTCTTCGTATAGCCCCCATATACCGTACCCCCCGATATTCGGTATTTTGATGATTTCAGCCCATGCCAGAAAATTGTCTGTACAGGTCCACGCCTTCGTATAGCCCCCATATAACGGTACCCCTTATATTCGGTATTTTGATGATTTTAGCTACATTATAAACAGATTTTTCTTCAAGTTTCGCATTTAAATATTGTAATAACTTATGACAAAAGTTGTTTATGCAGGTCTACGTCGTCGTATAGGCATTCGGTATTTTTAGGATTTTAACAGAGTTTTAAACGGATTTTTTTTTTTTTTGTGGAAATTCCCAAATTTGTACCAAATGGTGGAGTGTATTAAAAGTTCTGCCCGGCCGAACTTACAGCTTTTTTACTTGTTTCTCCCTGCTTTTGTAATAAATCAAAACAATACTCTAACAAAGTAATGTACTTTAAACTCTTGAGATACCAGAAAATTAAGTCTGAGAATGAGTAAAAAATAGCCCCACTGACGTTTTTTCGTTTTTGTTTTATTTATTTTTTGTCAATTTGTCATTTTATCTGCCATTATGTTTTTTAGCTCTTCATCAGATTTGACCTTGTCTGGCTTAAAAAAAAAAAAAAAAAAAACAAAACAAAAAATAACATTATATTTCCCATAGCTGCAGGCATGTCTTCAAACAAAGATTTAAAATATAGAAAATTTAAAAGAATTTCGCAAAACTCGTGTTGAATAAATGTTTTACAAATGAATGTCTTTGCAAAACGTAAGCAACTCATGATTTCCGAGATATATCTACAATATCGACGGTTTTGGCTATAATAAATATGATGAGTTCTAAACTATATGTGATCGCCCAAAATTAATTCGGTAGCTAGGTTGCTTCATCCGATTTCACATATAAAGTAAATTAAAGGTTAAACTTTGAAAAACATTTGGAGTATATCCTACTGACAGACCAATTTTCAAAAATTCCGATGAAAATTTGAACAATATTTAATTGGACAAAAACTTGGGTCTATATTAACATTTATAGGCAGAATTTCAAATCAATGTTAATAGAAAGAGTAAAGTGATTAACTTTCTGTCTGGCGTAGCTACCTCGAAATTTGACTGTCACTAATGATGTAAAGAATACAAAAAAGCTCGAAATAATACGAAATAGTTTTTAACTGGAGCTAGTTTTTAACTAGAGCTTTGACATTTTGTTTGAGTGTCACCCACCGTAAGGAGGGATGATACAAAGAGGCCTCGAAAAGTACAAAAAAGTACAGCATTTTTGAAGCATCGGTTAGTGGCATTTCTTTCAAAATGTTCATAAGGGTTGAGATAAACCGACATTTTTTGAAATTCGTTCTGAAAGGTTACAAAAATATTCAATTTTGTTATTGAGCGCTTAGAGAGAACTAGAAGTTTTACATTTTGCATTAAAATCGCTATTGATGACAAGGGTATGTTACCTTTTGTCGCAAAAATTGAATGAACTAAAAGGAACGAAATTGTACAACTAAAATTACGAAATAACGCAAAATTATGGTTGATCTGCCGTTAGGAGGTAAAACTTTTAAATTTAGGAGAGATAAAAGGGAATTCCCGAGGTTTGGGGATTTAACTATGAAAACTGTAACGAGCCTTGAAAAAATGTCGGAAGTCTAACTTAAAATAAATATACTTAAATATACTCAAAAGAGCTAAAGAGTTGCTTCGCTTGACCGAAAGTGGTGAATTGCCGAATTTGGTTTTCTCCGATGAGAAAACATTTGTCGTCCAGCAGATTGTAAACAAACAAAATGATCGTGTTTACTTGCCAAAGAGGCCAGCTGAAAATGTGCGCCTTCTATTGGCCATCAGAACTCAGGCGCCGGCCATGGTGATGGTGTGGGCCGCCATAACAGCCGATAGTCGCTCGTATTAATCGACCGTTGCATCAGAATAAATGCCGAATATCATCACGAAAATATTCTGGAGAGTGTATTAAAGCTTTGGGCACACAAACATTTTGGCCGCAGACCTTGGACATTCTAACAGGACTCAGCACCATCGTACTCAGCATACGCCAACCAGCGCACAATGGCCACCAAAATCTCCGGATACCAATCCGTTGGACTATCGTGTCATTAATATTTTGGAAAGCTAGATTGCACTAAAAATACCAAAGTGTCGATCACCTTAAGCAAGCGCTTCGGCGGGAATGGGCAAAAATACCGGAGAGCAACATTCGGGCAGGGTGTTACGGTTTCATTAGCTGTTTGAAGGTCATAATTCGTGCCAAAGGTGACCAATTCGAACAAATCGATACT